ATGCCTCGCTCCATGCCAGAGCAGGAACGCGAACATCTCTTTCCATCCACGCCTGCAGCGGCCTTCCACCAGAATATTTTTCTTGATATGCTCATCGCTGTTCGGATGGATGATGAGAATCCAAGACTTGAAGTCTTCCATTGACTTCGGGACGTTCTCCTTGTTCTCGAACAATGTCATGATTCGGGAGAAAACCTTGTCGTGCGCCTTGTAGAGGGGCAGGAAGCTTGAGGCCCATGTGATGACTGCCACCGAGTCACCAAGGTTGAGCTCATCATACTTAGGCACGTGTAAGTGGCGCATCGGTAGCAGTTCTGTGCAGGCCTTTGCTTTGGGCGAGCGATGAGGTCCCTTGGGCGTGAATTTGGGCAAGCTCTTGGCTTTTGCTTTGGTCTTACCTTTGGGTTTGCCTTTTGGTTCCTGGTGGTGGTGTTTTTTTGTATCATCCAGGACACTGCCTTCTTCATCATTCTGCTCGTCGTCAGAAGCAATGGAGCTGTGGAACAAGCAATACAGTCAGTCAGGACCCAAGCCAATACAATCTTGTCTGACCTGGAGGCATCGGCAGGTGTGCGTGTGAGAACGGATTCAGCATTGCACTGTTGGAGTTGGAAACATGCAGTGTTTATTCTCAACAGATTTCGTGCAATTTCTGGAGTCACCCCGTACGAGGCAGTGCAGGGAAGCAGGTACTCTGGAAAAGTGGTGAAGTTCGGTGAGACGGTCATGGCCAGAATCAAGCAGCAGAAAGGAGAACCCAGATTTGTCGCTGGAGTGTGGTTGACGAAGTGCGGCTTTCAGGATCTGCATTTAGTGTCAACAGACAGTGGTGAGTTGCTTCTCACCAGAACAATGGGGGAACACTGATTTGGACCCCATTTTCAGAGCCAAAAAACGACTCCATTTTTAGAACCCGAAACCTGACCGACAGAGGGTCACCTTGGGGACTTACCGCTGACCACTGGGGCTGACAGAGGGTCACCCTGGGGACCATTGGGGCTGACAGAGTGTCACCCTAAAGATGTGCCAGATCTTTTGATAGAAGTGTTGTTGGAGCATATCGTCGAGATTTTTCCAGTTAAAGTGTATATTTCCTGCTTATTTGGCCATACGACAAGCTCAGATTTGCTTTGAAAGGGTATTTTTGAGCGCGCGCCCCGGAATGCAAATTGATGACAGAGAAAAAAACATTCTGATCTCTTGAGGGTGGTTTGCGCTGCGCACCACTGGCCTTGTATGCATGCTCCTGGTGCCCTATATGCCTACTTATGTGTGTACTTTCTCCACCCAACAGGTTTGCTTTTTTCCCATAGCGCGGTAGTTATTCAGAAAAAAATGCAAAATGATGTTGAAAGATTGTAAATTTATGTGTTTTTTAACGTGAAAAAGTGTCACTTGAATCTGACAAAGCATGTATGCAGAAGTGTCACTTTGATTGAAAAACTTGCATTACTAAGTGCTCATTCTTTCATTTGGTGCTGCTCCTTCATTGCTCATTCTCTCGTTTGATGCTGCTCCTTCATTGCACATTGACGCTGCTTCTTCGTTGCTCTCTTCTTCCTTTCTTGCTGTACAAAATCCTTCCCCTCCTTCTTGTTCCCTTGCTCTTTCCCTGTTGCGTCCTGCTCCTCTTTTCCTTGCTCTTTCCTTCTTCCTTCCTCTTTTTCTCTTTTTCCTCTTCCCTTTGCCACTTCTTTTTCCTTTCTCTTTTCTTCTTTCTTTCTCTTGTTTTCTTTTTCCCTTGCTCTTTCTTTTTCCCTTCCCTTTTTTCCTTGCTCTTCTCCATCTTTCTTTCACCTTGCACTGGCTTCTTTCGTTCTTGTTTGTTTTTCTTTCCCTGCTTCTTTTTTTTCTCTCTTTTCAGAGCTTTAGCTTGCAACCTTTAAGGTTTGAGGGTTGTAGCTTTGCAGTGCTGCAGGGTCAACCTTCCAGAGAACCTTTGAAGGGTTGCAGGTTGCAGGTTGCAACCTTTAAGGGTTGAGGGTTGCAACTTTGCAGGGCTGCAGGGTCCTTCCAGAGCTTGAGGTTGCAACCTTTGGGGTGGAGGGTTGCAATTTTGCAGGGCTGTAGGGTCAACCTTGCAGAGCTTTAGGTTGCAACCTTTGCGGGTTGCAGGTTGCAACCTTTGAGGTTTGAGGGTTGCAGCTTTGCAGAGCAACCTTCCAGCTCTTTAGGCTGAAAGGGTTGCAGCTTTGCAGGGCTGCAGGGTCAACCTTCCAGAGCTTTAGGCTGCAACTACCTTTGCATCCTGCAGAGAGAGAGAAAGAAAAGAGAGAACGCAAAATTGAACAGGGAAGAGGAGGAGCGAAGAGACAAAGGGTTGCTCACAACAGAGTTGAACAGAACAGAGCAAACAGAGGGAACAGAGGGAAGAGAGGATTGAACAGAACAGAGAGAGAGAGAGAGTAGAGAGAATAAAGAGAGTAGAGGGGACAGAGACTTGAAGAGATTGTGTGTGTGTGTGTTTGTGTCTGTGTGTGTGTGTTTGTGTCTGTGTGTGAGTTGTGTCTGTGTGTGAGTTGTGTGTGTGTGTGATGCGTCTGTGTCTGTGTCTGTGTATGAGTTGTGTGTGTGTGTGTCTGTGTGTGTGCTGTGTTTGTGTGTGTCTCTGTGAGGGAACAGAAGAATGAAAAAACAGCAAACAGAGAGGGAACAAAGGATTGAACAGAACAAAGAGAACAGAGGGAAAAGAGGACTGAACCTCTTTCAAGTTTTGTTTGAAGAAACCTTGTTGAGTTCTGGGTTCTTGTCTAAGAAAATTGCTGTGCCATTGCTGGTCTTGCTTTGTGTTTGGTGTTTGGTAAGTGTTGTTAGCCTTTGGCAGAAGCGAACTTTGAATTGCCAAACGCATGGTTCAAAACATGGAGTCGTTTTTTGGTTTTGAAAATGGGGTCCAAATCAGCGTTCCCCCACAGTATGCGACCGGCTGCCAGCAGTTGACGTTTTCCGGGAAGTTGATGCGAGGAAGATTCTGGAAGAAACAGTGTTTAAAGAAAAGAAAGCGTTACTTCTTTGATGCGCAACATTTTGCAGCGGTTTGAGATCAGGTATTTTGCTGTCTCGCTATTATTGCGTCTGCAATGTGTGGCGGCTGGATCCACACAACTGTTTGTTATGTTATAGTTGTTTATTTGCATTTTGGCGCAATTGGGTACCAGGTTTCGATGCCGTTTTTGCTTCTTTTGTGGTTCCATTTTTGGGTCTAAATGTGGTTCCAAATCTGGAACCTGTCCTTTTAGTTTACTCAAGCGGGTTCCACTTTTGGAGCCAAAAGTGGCCCTGTTTTTGGAGCCAGGCAACCAGCTTTTGGCAGCGGATTCGGCGCCGCCGCCGTGTAGCGAGTCGCGCTGGAAAAGCGGTGTTACTGATTAATCGGGACGAGACTAACATACCATATACTCTGGAGCCTTGAGTTGGCGCAGTTGCAGACGAAGTCGAGTCTTCGTTGCTGGCGCGCAAGAAAGATTATCGAGGGTCTGCAGCGCTCATTGCAGTTATTTGTGACAATGAGCCCTATACAGTGATCATGATAGACTAGCGGCGCACAGCGTGACGAAACAGAACTGCGCGAAGAGTCTCAAGACCTTGGGACAAAGAGATGCTGAACACGGTGCAACAGTTTTCCTGGCAACATCCGGGATTGGTGGCAAGTTGCACAATGGCCCTTAAGAAGACGAGAAGTCCATTTTCGGTGGAGTCCTACTTCACCGAGATTGATGATGGAACGATGTTGAGTGATTTTCTGCGTGCACAGGCTGCAGAAACTCCAGAACTGCAAGACAGAGAGCCAGTTGTAATTCCGAGACAGACAGATGAGCCCGGCATTGAACCACAGACACCTGTGGTGATTCCAGAGCGTGCTTTGGAAGATGAGAGAAGTGGAGGCGCCGCTGAGGCAGGGCGACATGAAAGCGCCCAGCCCGGGCACAGCGCAGGGCGACATGGAGGCGCCCAACATGAAGCGCAGGCGGGGACAACTCAGAAGTCCCAAACAAGTGGAAGTGAAGGAAGTGCAGCCAAGAAGGTGCGTACGGATGGACCGGCGGAAGACATTCCCATGCAGTTGGAGCCATCCAGCACCTCGGCCAAAACTTCCAGAGATCCTCATTCAGGGGATGCAAGTGATGAGCGGTTTTGCTCCTTGCCTTTCGGCCAGCAAGGTGGAGAATTGCTTCAGTCTTGGCACGGCTCATGTTGAGCTTTAGGCCATAAGATTCAAAGATGTCAACACACAGTCTGACCACATGCGGCAGCTTCTCAAACACAACACCTGGATCCTGATCATCAATAGCAACGAGGACGTCATCGATCCAGCAGACTGGATGAAAAGGCTCAGGTGCAGCATTAGGGCGCAAATGCAAGTTTGTGCAAAACCCACCTTCTTTCAAAGCTTCCCAGAGCTCCTGAGCAACTGAGAACATAATCAGGTTGAAAGTCAAATCTGCGAGTGGCATGCCTGGCCTGGTGCCAAGACATGCCAGCGCATGCTGATCCGTGAAAGCTGTGCGACACCAGGTGCCAACCTGCCACTTGACAAACCTCTTGACGAGATTTTGCGGCAGTCCTTTCAAGTAGCTGCACGGCCCTAGACAACTGAAAAGACATATTTTGTCCAGCCAGTCCTTCGGTGGTTGTACGAGGGACTTCAAGAAGAAGGATTGGAAACTTGGTGAGGTTTTCGGGAAAGTCCTTGAGCTTCTCGCGCACTCGGCGCATCATCTCTTTGAACAGACCACTGTTCTCCACTTTAAGTTCCTCGTACATCGTCGTTTCCCAATCGGCACTTTTGATGGTGAATCGCGCAACACCTCGCGCCCCTCGCAAGGCCTCTTCTGTTGCCACCGATGACTGGCAGCGACCACCAATGATGGTCGCATGTTGTTGCCAGCTCGCAATGCGTTGCCGGAGAGTTTCCATCACTGGCCTTTGGATGACCTCGTCTTGCGGCCTGCTGGGTTCAAAAGGCTCCATGGCCCTTGCCAGCGCTTCTTGGATTTTGCCTTCTGGAGAGGCTTTGAACGCCTCGTCGGCAGAACGCTTTGCTTCATCGGCGGAGCGCTTTGCTTCATCGGCGGACTTCACTGCATCCACCAGTTGCCCAAATGTGAAGGTGGACTTAGCTGCAGTTGCCACGCTAATGAAGAAGTCGCGGTTTCGCCCAACGTCGTCAACGAATTGTTGAAAATCCAGCCCCGACGTGTCAGAGGCATAGGCTGGGGCTACCATGATGCATGAGCCAACCACATGCCCAACGAGGCGTGCCCCAAGGTGTGGTGTGCATCTCACTGGCACCGCCTCCAAATGACATAGCCATCTGCAAGACCAAAACATGAAACATCACACTGGCCTTTTCTTAAACACAAACTCATAATCACCAAAGTTAGGGACCAAGTTAACATGATTTTCAAGTCCTTGACCTGTGGTGGTGGCACAAAGGCTCCCATCAACTTCATCAGACTGAAGCCACCGACCAGCACCATCCATGGCTTGACACGCACTTGGTGCCTTCGGTTCATGGCTACAACAAGGAGTGTGCCAACACCACTCCGTGCAGTTTTACTCCATCATATGTTTTTTTCAGTATTGTAAACATTATTTTTCACATTGCCTAGGTTGGCTGAGTTTTGGTGCGGTTTCTTGTTGTAGGCTTCTGTGCTGAATCTATGCATATGCTTCGGTACAGGGGTATAGTATTGAACTGGGGGTTGAGGCTCTTTCTGGTCTTTCAGAAGTCATGATCCTCGCGAACCTCATGTCACGACTCACCTGGCCGAAAAAAACAGCAGCCAAGCTGCAAAGACTCCAAGGTCCATGTCGGGCTTCATTGCGCGCGAAACTCCAGGATCTGCTTCGTGGACAAGGCCTTGAAGAAAGCCACGAGCTGGGGGACACAACTCACAGCCCTTCTTGTTCATCTTCAGAACCGAAAAAACACGAAAAAAAAGGTAAAGCGAATCAAACGCAAACACACCCGATTTCGGAAATGTTGAAGTGCAGGTGCATGGATTTGGCTCAGCATGCCAGAATTGTCTATCCTTGAATGGGATTTCAAAATACACCATCTCACATAGCTGATACATCTGATACTATGCGTGCGTTGTGTTTACGGGGCTGGAACAAATGCACAAGCAAGAACGAGCTGAAGTCTTCCGTCCATTTTCGCAAAAGATCGGTCATGGATTTGCCAGTTGCGCTTCAGCGGCCTCCTTATGCAATTTGGAGGCAAAAAAGAAGCGCTTCTTGATTGGGTGAAAATACACAGCATGACAACTCTTGTTGCGAATTAGTGCGGCAACCTCCCTTGGGAGGATGCGGATGCCGTTTGAAACCTCTGGGATGCCTTCAGGATAAACTTTGAGGAGCTCTTGCAACATCTCGCGCCCCGTGACCTTGGGGTGCACTTGAAGCTCCATGAAGCGGACAATTTCCACAGTAGCAAGTCGCTGACATTCTTGCTTCGTGTCGTCCAATGACATTCCTTTCCTTAGTTCAAGAGATACAAAACACATATCCCTGAGAGGTTTTGAACACCGAGAAAGTAAATCATCATCCGTTCAAGCCAGGCGCTTCAGATTCTCACAGGCCTTCACCAAGTCGCCAATCCGCAAGCCACCTGAAATGAACTCTGGTCAAAGTCCGCCCAAACAAAAACTCGAACGGGGCAAACACCTTAATCAATCAACATGTTGTTGAATTGAGCCGAAACACAAGCATCCACGAAGTCTTTCCAATTCTTCTCATGCCCATGCAGTGCCAAAAACTCCTTCGCTTCCTGCTCGGTCAAGTCGCCAACCCAAATGTCTTCCTGCCTTTCCAATCCACCAGCATCAAAAGCCAGCGCCGCTGCCGCCGAAGAGGCTGATACAATCACCTTGGACCAAGGATAAATAGACGTAACTACAGTCCCCGCAAAACGGTTTCTGTTTGAACCATTGGAACTTAGTCTTTCAGCTGGAGAGCATGTATGGCACAGCCGATTTTGTCCGTCGCCACATCCTTCGCTGTAGAAGAGACTCGATCGATGCCTCGCCCATAGGAACCGAAACAAAATGACTCGGGTCAAATGCATTACAATATTTGAAAAAAACAGCTGTCCACTCAGTCCTTCAATGGTTGTACGAGGGACTTCAAGAAGAAGGATTGGAAACTTGGTGAGGTTGTTGGGGAAGTCCTTGAGCTTCTCGCGCACTCGGCGCATCATCTCTTTGAACAGACCACTGTTCTCCACTTTAAGTTCCTCGTACATCGTCGTTTCCCAATCGGCACTTTTGATGGTGAATCGCACAACACCTCGCACCCCGCGCAAGGCTTCTTCTGTTGCCACCGACTTGCCGGACTGATAGCGACCACCAATGATGGTCGCATGTTGTCGCCAGCACTCAACGCGGTTCTGGATAGTTCCCATCACTGGCCTTTGGATGACCTCGTCTTGCGGCCTGCTGGGCTCAAAAGGTTTCATGGCCTTTGCCACTGCTGCTCGGATTTTGCCCTCGGAAGAGGCTTTGAATGCCCGCACTGCCTGTATTGTCGCTACAACAAGACCCGAAGCAGAAACAATGACTTGCCAGACCCTCACATCCAAAGCTCTGCAATGGGTCGAGCGTGGGCGCAAATCCTCTTTCACCTCGAGGGCAAAGATTGAGGAGTGAAAAATATACAATGCAATATAAAACCAAAAATATGCAAGAATGTTTTTTCTGTCTGACCAAGTAGAAAAAATTACCAAACAGCAAAGTTTCAATGCTAGACCCAATAAATTGAGGACGCTCAATGAGGCCCCGCAGTCTCGCTGATGCCACCTGCGGATGAAAGAGAAACAAACTACGCACTTTGCATGAATCCATTCAAGACACACCAAATTTAAAAAATGTCTTTATAACAGAATAATAAACGCAACCGTGTCTTGAAACTGCATGTCCATCCCCAACCTGCGGTGGTGGCACAAAGGCCCCCATCAACTTCACCAAAACAAAGACCAGCGCCATCCATGTCTTGATACGCACTTGGTGCCTCCGCTTCATGGCGAAACTATCCCCACGCTCAAGTCCCGACTGCAGAAGAGCTCACATTATTCTAAGCTCAGGGCGTGATTTTGGTAAACTTGGTGTCTGATCTTGATTTTGGACGAAATCAAAAACATATTGCACAAGTCTTTGGAAATTCTGCATGCGTGCGTCCGCCCCGATGTCTTGCCACAAGCCGTTTTGAGCAAACTCTGCGGCATGGACGCTGTCAAGCTGGGCAAACGCGTCGTCAAGCAACCAACGAAGGCCTGAGTCAGCCTGAGAAGTAACTTGCAGAACCAAGACGGCGTTAAGGAAGGAGATTAAGAGATTACGTGAGGGCATCTAGCAAAGGAAAGGCTTAAAGGACAATGATATCAGGCAACGATATTTAGAGGATCGCTGCAAGTCCCATTTGCCTTGCATTCGGCCTTGCAAGAGAACTGCCTCGCAAGTTGATAGCGAAGGCCAGTCACTGAGAACACATTTGTTGCATGAACATGTCTAGCGCCCAGTGCCCTGTGCCGCAACACTCTCACCCAAACAGCTTTGGTTTGTGTGGTGCCTGACAAGTGTCCTCTTCGTTGAAAAGACCCGATGTTGTTTCTTCAAGGCTAAGCCCTACGCAACAGACCTATCATCAGGATTGCGCAGTGTTCGACTAACACCACCTGCCTCGTGTCCTCGTGTGGGCGGCGCCTCATCGAGAATGAGATAGCCACACGTGTAAAGGCTCATGATGCTGGGGCTCCAACCACCAAGCTCATCGCGCATCTGGGTGGCATCTGCGCTCACCACTCCCTCATGAGCTCAACAGAAACATCTTGCCGCTTTTTGAACTCTGTTGTCACTGTCCTATTCAAGTGTTGACGGGCGAGGTGTTCTGACCACAGGAAGTGCTCAGCGCGCTTGCCGTCTTGCTGGGGCGCAATGGCGCGCGGGCCACTCAGGTTGTCGATCTCCCTGTCGCCCTCCTCTGCTCGGGTGACAATAATGAGCTGGCGTCCGCGTTCAAAAGCTTGCCGGGTGAGCTCAATCAATGCATTGCCGTCACCCTGCAGCCCACCATCGAAAGCATTGTCGAAGAAAATGCGCGTGCCAATGCCATGACTTGCAAGCTGTCTGAAAAAACGAGCGCGCAACTTTGAGTGCAAGGGATGTGTTTGAAACCCGGAAAAACTTTGAGGCTCTGTCCAAGCTCTCCCTGCAGTACCACCATCACGCAGGACTCGCTTGCGTTGGTTTTCAACACAGACTTCTGAAAAGCTCTGTGGCTTCTGCGGCAACTTCTCGCTTATCTTTGCCGACGCAAAATGCGGAACGCATGGCTTTTATCCGCACATAAGCTGTTGTTCCAGTTGCTGGTTTTAATGCATCACCGTGTCTTTCGTCTAATATGTTGTGAATCACGCGCCGCGTGATCAGGTGTACACTCAGGCGCCGTGGCCCCTGGCCCAAATCACCCCACAGCGAGTGGGAGTTTGCTTCGCCCGCTGGCTACGAGTGGCATTGAAAAGGTGCGCTCGCGCTTTGGTTCTCTACCTTGTCTTCAGCCTGGGGCCTCGTGGGCCCTGGCAACGACATGATATTGGCAGAGGAGCCGCTCTTCGGCATCCAGACTGCGGGTCACTTTGGCATCCTCAGCAGAACTGGCAGTACGGCAACCTCCCGGACAGCGACCTAGGTATCTTCATGGCATCTTCCTCCCCTTCACAAAGCTCCATGAGCCTCCCGTCCACGGATGTGGCCACTACAAGGGATAGCTGCGTTCCCCTGTTCAGTGGTCAACCCAATGACTGCCGATAGCTTTGTACCACAAGAAGATGGTGGCACCGAAGAGAGAGAAGGAGGCGGTCTGTGGAGGCGGTCTACAACCTCCTTGGCTCTCTCACCACCGCCCGGAAAGTTGTGGAACAGCTGGAGGACGCCCAGATCGAGGCCGATGACGCCTTCGAGAAGATCCTGAAGTTGCTGGACCAATCCTTCCAGTACGTGTGGAGCTGACGTCTGACTCTGATGGCTACTTCAACCAGGTTCAGCGCCGGGCAGGTCAGACCTTCCTGAGCTATGTCACCGAGCACGACGAGGCCCTGCGCAAGGTTGCCAAACACGGTGTTGACCTCCCCTCCAGGAGCGCCCGAAGGAGTTCCTCGTGGGGCCCCCGCCTCTGGGGCCCGCTCCGACACTGCCGCTGAGCCGCTGCTGGGCTTAGACTGTCGGAGCGAGCGAGCTAGGGAGCGCGTTGGGGAGCTGGAGCGCAGCAACAGAATTCTCCGCCAGCGGGTGGAGCGCCTAGGCGAGATCCTCGTGCGAGCGCGCAGATGAGCTTGAGGACGCGCAAGCAAAAAAAAGATCCCGAGCTCTCGTTTTTCTCGCTTTCTCGATAATGCTGATTCGATCCGCCGCAGCTGCTCAAAATGACTTCCTCGGCGGCCTTCCGATGCGTGCAGGCATGGCTTATGGAGAAGCCCGCCGCGTTGGTGGAGGAGGACGCTCCCAGCCTTGCGGCCGCTCTGATGGCCCAGCGGCCTCCCGCGCGGCCTCGCGAGAAC